TAACACGAAATGCACGTGCATATCTTCTGTACAAAACTGCTGACCCGACACGTTGGGATCACAGCAACAAAAAGCACACAAAAGAAATGCCACGTTTGACAGCGATTGAGAGAGAGAGAGCCGTAGGAATGCTCCAACAGGGAACTACGCACCGCGACGTCGCCAGAAGGTTAGGATGCGCGCGCATAACCGTCACCAGGTTAATGCTGCGGTTGCGTCAAACAGGTCGGTCAGCAGACAGGCCGAGAACCGGGAGACCACGGGTGACCACGCCTATTGAAGACCGCCACATCCGGGTACTTCACCTTTGGAAGCGCTTCGTAACGGCGACGTTAACGGCACGGACGGCACTGGGACACGTGATCAGTCGACAAACCGTGTACAGGAGACTGCGGGCACATGGAATCCTAGCACGTCGCTCCTTCCGCGGAGCGTTCCTGACACCTCAACACCGACTCAACAGGCGGATATGGGCCAGGCGACTTCGACGGTGGCAACGGTAGAACTGGGCACGTGTCATGTTTTCTGACGAAAGCAGATTTTGGAATCTTTGTCTTTGTTAAGCCAAATATCTATAGTTATAAATAGCTTGCATGACAATTACCTAGGGGAGAGGTTAAAATATTGTCAACCTTCTAGCGATTCCTACGACAGCATGGTTTGTGTCCAAGAGAATGAAATTTAGTGCACACGGATGCACTTTATGAATGGAATATAAAGCATTATGAACTTTCTTAGTATTATTGCAGTTAAAATCACAGTGAGGCATTACATTTCCTTTTATTCATGCTATCATTCTATTAAGCACTGTTCATTGACAACAACTCGCCAACATCTGGAGTTGGCTGGTATTATCAGTTTTAGTATTATCAGTATTATCTGGAGGCCAGAGGGTCCTTGTTTATATGTATCAATAAGTCCTGTCAACTGCCGGAACGTCACTCCTCAATTGTTAAATTAAATATAACTGCTGGTCCTGCTCTGGACCTTTTGCTACCATCAAGATTGATGAATATGTGAATGAATTACACCTTAAAAACCCAAACTATGAATTCTTAATAGCACATTTAATACTAGATAAAAAATATCACATTGTCATGAAAGAAATTTCCGTATTTCTTAGCTTTCCTGACATGCGTCTGTCATTGTAGAACTTTTACTGGTCTTTCGTTTCGCTTAACCGTACGAGTAAAGTATTTGGGAGACAACCCTGTGTAGAGACACAAAACGTCAAACCCAGAGAATAATCAACAATGCAATGCAAGTCGTTCTTGTTGATTCATGCAACTTGTTCCGCGGTGTATATTCATATTCATGCCATGTCGAACGTTCCGTTGGAGCCACAAAGCGATCATAACTCTTCAATAGGCGCAATTCTATGTTAAAATATGGAAGGTCGCCTTGATTATCACCTCAACTAAGTAACAATAACATTATACTCTCGGTATACTTCATTTCCTCAAAATGCGACAAATGTTAAAAGCACACTATAAATTGTAACTAATATTGAATAATTTTATATATCCGTTAATGTCTGAGAATAAGGTTTAACTGTAAACTGACGGTAAACAATAACCCTAAATTAGTGTTATCCCAACGGTTAAAGGTAAACGATTGCATAAAGGTTAAAGATTAACACGAAGCACACATATTCCTTCAACAACCGACAACCAGGTTTGCTGGTATGTTAACTCAATACAAGCTGCCACACAGTTGTAGCTCACGCTATCAGCATTACAAATACTGTAACACAATGTTGGTTAAGGAAAGAGGTGATATCACATAAGCGTATGGTCCAAATCAGGAGCGTCTTAACAATTTCCACAATAGCTACACGTAGATTAGACAATATATCTGCTGCGTTTTGACCTGTTACGTCTATCCAATGCGAAGGAAATTGTATTTGTCTTACCTGATCATGTAAACGTGTTTCTGTCAGTGCATTAGCCTCAACATTCTCATAGAGAAAGGGAAAGTAGGAAAATACTGATCTCGGGGAAGTATGCTACATTTAGCTGTGACTGCACAAGCGGGTATTTCCCGATGTTTACAAATTATTATAACTAGTTAGTACAAGTTGCTGTGTTCAGTATCAACTATTATTATTTAAAATGGATCTGCAGCTACGTTTATTTTTCCTCACAAAATGTATCGAAATATTGCTCTTTTTGCCTCGGAGATACATGATAGAAGATATTTACGTGTCTCCTGTAGTATCATGTTTCTTTTATCGAGGTGGGCACGAGTGGCCTAGTCTTCTAAGGCGCCGCGATTCACTGTTCATATTTCGCCCCGATTATGTTTCTTGATTTGTCAGCACCATACCCGTGCTCGTGGGTTTCACCGAAGTGGTAAACGTCTGAGACATGCATCACCTCGGGCTTTCCTCCCACATTAATTATAAGCTGACACGCCGTGACATAACTAGAACAATGTAAAATGCGGCTATAAACCTAACTCACTCACTATCATCAAGTGAAAATATCTCCCTTAAAGTGTTATGTTCACAGCAATGAAAATGTATAACTTTTCACAACTCCACACTGAAGTATGTGATAAACGTTTGTATGTGTATGCTCTATGACACATACAATAACAATGTTTGCACATACCCTGAAATAAATATATCCAAAACAGCCCATGGAAGTCTATAATATATGGTAAGTGTAGATTGCTTAATTGTACGGGTTATGTTGGACTAACATTTTGTGTCTGAAATGAACATATTTTACAAATGTTAAATTCCTGTCTTGATCATCATGATTATGATTCAACCTGTATCATTTGTCAGTGTCCAAAATTGCTGTCATAGGATATTCTTTCTTTTAAGGTTTATCTTCAACAAGCTACCATGGGCATATTTTCGCCACTGTGTCTGGAATCGCACAAGGTCAATACACCTACATGTAACTCCATTCCTAAAATTTGTTTCTTATATTCACTTAACTCACTTCAAAAGAAGTGACGCACACACAGCTTTCACATCCCTTTCCTTGATTGACACTTGGCGACTTTTGTTGCTATCCAATTCTGAAACACACTTGGCAGTAAATGCTAATCATTATAAGAGTATGTGTGTTAACAACACAAACATCCATGTATGTAAAGAAATAAGGATTATGTGAAGTTGTTTCTACAGGCCAACATATATATTGACGGAAATTATGAAACGCATACTAATGATGAGAATGAACGAGACATTTGTGCTGGATTTGTATACAAACAGGTACAGGTGCGCCTGTGCAAGCACTGGGTATTTGCACCGGGTATTTTCTTTCCAGTAATTCATTCATCCCAAGAAAGATACATGATACGCAGTCATGTCTTTTCTCATGACATTTAGGCGCTTAACATGTGACAGAACAAAACGAACCATTAATTGCAATCAGGCCTTATCACACGGTATATGATGATTTACAAACCATATACACAATAATCTAGAGATGTACTGGCAATCATAATGTAATCGACAATGATATATACGGTGGCCCATAAGGGACATGGAGTCTGTTTTTCAATATTTATCATAACCTTTTGCAAATTAACACGATTTGTCACACAAATATGTGATAAATCATGTATAAAGAAGATATTGAATCGCTGAAAAATAAAGCGAAAATGTAAAAAAATAAAATGAAAATGTCAAAAACGAAAACGAAAATGTCAAAAACTAAAATGAAAATACAGAAAAGTATTTCCACCGCGGTGATAATATTTCTACCGCGGTGAAAACTATTTACACAGCGGTGTGAATATTATCACCGCGGTGGAAATAGTTTCCTTTATTTTCATTTTAGTTTTTGACATTTTCGCTTTTGTTTTTGACCTTTTTGTTTTTTGTTTTTGACATATTTTCATTTTAGTTTGTGACATTTTCACTTCACATTTCAGCGATTCAATAGCTACTTGAAAGTACATTTTCCATGTTTTCGGTTGTTTTTATACATGATTTATCACATATTTGTATGACAAATTGTGTTAATTTGCAAAAGGTTACGATGAAAGTAAGGGAAATATCAAAATATTGAAAAGCAGACTCCATGTCCCTTATGGACCACCGTAGATATACACTTTATATCCAGACAGCGTTCAAAGAAGAATTAAACGTTTTGCATAAAATGATCTTCGCGTACAACTAATTTCCTGATGAGAAAAATTAAACTTGCTCTGGGTTTCATGTGTCTTTGAGTGCCATTTGAAAGTTGGATAAGAATAAAATAATATCTGTGACCCACCAGGAGGAAATGGTCCTAACTGGTGCTAGGATACAATTGTGCTATGAGGTCATTCAAATGTAATACATGCGGCCAGTGCTTAGGTAAAATTAACTTCAATTATGTGAATCATAAAAATGTACGTTTCTTTTGCCATTTAGGATATAAATATAACGTTTTGAAATTGTACGTATATGTGAACACATTTGCTGAGTTTATGCACCCTACACCATGTGAGTATTTAATTAGAGATACTTTCTGTTTGTGAAGTTTATGTTTTTTCCCGGATTATATATATATATATAACGACAGCTCGTAGCTCACCATGTGGGATCCATCGCTACTCTTCGTAGACATGGGGTGCCACCACATTGTTCATGGGGAGATCAGTTTAAGAACAGGCTTCGACTTCGTGATTCGAAACTAGAACTAGACTACCGAAACGTCGCTCCTTATTGTAATAAAGAAGTTGTTCATCCATATATCTTATCCTTACTTAGTACTCCAACTTCTAAATGCCTCTCAAAGAAAATACAATAATCTTGATGATTAATTAATTCTAACGCTGTTACCATTTCTACTTCAACATTTGCTGCAAGATGTTATTCATTTGAGCTGTGTCAGTATTTAACTCACTTACCTGCCTTGACAGTACCACATAGAGGATATGTCGGTAAATCTCGCTTGACACATGGTACATAGGCAGGGAACAAGCGATGATCAGACCTGGCGGTATACTCGGACAGGCAATGACCAGACCTGGCGGTGTACTCGGACAGGCGATGATCAGACCTGGCGGTATACTCGGACAACCGATGACCAGACCTGGCGGTATACTCGGACAACCGATGACCAGACCTGGCGGTATACTCGGACAGGTGATGATAAGACCAGGCACATAGGCAGAGAACAAGCGATGATCAGACCTGGCGATATACTCGGACAACCGATGACCAGACCTGGCGGTATACTCGGACATGCAATGACCAGACCTGGCGGTGTACTCGGACAGGCGATGATCAGACCTGGCGGCATACTCGGATAGGAAATGATCGGTCCTGGTGGTACACTTGGACAACCGATGATCAGACCTGGCGGTATGCACGGACAGGTGATGATAAGACCTGGCGGTATACTCGGACAAACGATGACTAGACCTGGCGGTATACTCGGACAGGCGATGATCAGACCTGGCGGTATATTCGGACAGGCGATGATCAGACCTGGCGGTATACTCCGACAACCGATGATCGGACCTGACCGTATACTCGGACAGGCGATGATTAGACCTGGCGGTATACTCCGACAACCGATGATCGGACCTGACCGTATACTCGGATAGGCGATGATCAGACCTAACGGTATACTTGGACAACCGATGATCAGACCTGGCGGTATACTCGGACAGGCGATGATCAGACCTGGCGGTATACTCCGACAACCGATGATCGGACCTGACCGTATACTCGGACAGGCGATGATCAGACCTGGCGGTATACTCGGACAACCGATGACCAGACCTGGCGGTACACTCGAACAGACAATGACCAGACCTGACGGTATACTCGGACAACCGATGACCAGACCTGGCGGTACACTCGAACAGACAATGACCAGACCTGACGGTATACTCGGACAACCGATGACCAGACCTGGCGGTACACTCGAACAGACAATGACCAGACCTGACGGTATACTCGGAGAGGCGATGATCAGATCTGACGGTATTATCGGACAAGCGATAATCAGACCTGGCGGAATACTCGGACAGGCGATGATCGGACCTGGCGGTATACTCAGACAGGCGATGAGCAGACCTGGCTGTATGATCGGACAACCGATGATCAGATCTGACGGTACACTCGGAGAGGCGTTGATCAGACCTGGCTGTATACTCGGACAACCAATGACCAGACCTGGCGGTATACTCGGACAACCGATGATCAGATCTTGCGCTATACTCGGACAGGCGATGATCAGACCTGGCGGTATACTCGAACAGGCGATGATCGGACCTGAAGGTATACTCGGACAGGCGATGATCGGACCTGACGGTATACTCGGACACAGGATGACCAGACATGGCGGTATACTCGAACAGGCGATGATCAGACCTAACGGTATACTCGGACAGGCGATGATCAGACCTGGCGGTATACTCGAACAGGCGATGATCAGACCTAACGGTATACTCGAACAGGCGATGATCAGACCTGGCGGTATACTAGGACAGGCGATGATCAGACCTGGCGGTATACTCGAACAGGCGATGAGCAGACCTAACGGTATACTCGGACAACCGATGACCAGACCTGGCGTTATACTCGGAGAGTCGATGTCCGGACCTGACGGTATACTCGGACAACCGATGATCAGATCTGGCGGTATACTCGGAGAGTCGATGTCCGGACCTGACGGTATACTCGGACAGGTGATGATCGGACCTGACGGTATACTCGGACACACGATGACCAGACCTGGCGGTATACTCGAACAGGCGATGATCAGACCTAACGGTATACTCGGACAGGCGATGATCAGACCTGGCGGTAAACTCGAACAGGCGATGAGCAGACCTAACGGTATACTCGGACAGGCGATGATCAGACCTGACGGTATTCTCAAACAGGCGATGATTAGATCTGGCGGTATACTCGAACAGGCGATGATCAGACCTGGCGGTACACTCGAACAGGCGATGATCAGATCTTGCGCTATACTCGGAGAGTCGATGATCGGACCTGAAGGTATACTCGGACAGGCGATGATCGGACCTGACGGTATACTCGGACACAGGATGACCAGACATGGCGGTATACTCGAACAGGCAATGATCAGACCTAACGGTATACTCGATCAGGCGATGATCAGACATGGCGGTATACTCGAACAGGCGATGATCATACCCATCGGTGTACTCGGGCAGGCGATGATCGAGCCTCAAGGTATACTCGGACAGGCGATTATAAGATCTGACGGTATACACGGACAGGCGATGATCAGACCTGACGGTATACACGGACAGGCGATTATAAGATCTGACGGTGTACACGGACAGGCGATGATCAGACCTGACGGTATACACGGACAGGCGATTATAAGATCTGACGGTATACACGGACAGGCGATGATCATCGAGATTGGACGCATTAAGACTCTAAGTAAGTATGTCTCACCTTACAGATTGGCTGCATGGTGCCTTACGTTCAGTACCAGTGTATAATGAGAGAAGTCCTCAAACACTAGGACACCTAACTACTCACTGGAGGTTAACCAACAAGAGGCAATATGGTATAAATTCTACCGTCACAGTTTATTTTAATGCGCTGAAAAAAATCAACGTTACCTGCCGAATACTTACTCTCTGCACAAAAGTGAATAATAATCTCAAGCCACACAAATAACGTCTTAATGTGATGTTCTTCGGACTTTATATATGTACATACGAGGGTCTATGAGACGTCACGTTTGTTTAGGGCACACGCGGCCTTTCATAACGTTACAAAGTGAAGCAAGTTTACAGGTACCAAGCACCCTTTAACGGTGGGTAGACAGTACCATAGTTGCCGAATACAATATTTACATTGTATATATCGCATGTTTACTTAGAAGGTCGTGTAAGAAATATTTGTAAACAACTAAATACGTATTCATCAGTAGGAATAATACTGTTTTAGTCATTTATTTTAAACAAAAACCAACAGATGTACATGTTAAAGTAGATTTGGAGGCAAATCATTACAATGAATATTAAAAATAAAACAAACAAAACAAAATATGTTTCAATGAGTATCCTGTTGTAAGTGGTAATATTCGTTAATACTCAATATATTCAATTAAGGATTGAAGTTGTATTTGTTGTCGTTCATCAGCTGAGGGGCAAATTCCATGATGACAAAAACAACTTACGTCCTGATGATGACATACACATAGCTACATCCGAGTACGAAATCAGAGTGATATCAGTTTACAAACAGCAACATGACACATTTCTATAAGCAAAACTACAATGTAAATAGAAAATCCCTTCAGCAAAGAGAATGATAAATGTTATCTTCAAACCACTGTACACGTAGATGAATGGACAGATCTTGAATATATTCGTCTTAATACAGTTTGAATATAACTTAAATAACATACAGTAAACTACGGTTATAACGAACTCAAAGGGACCACTGATATTTGTTCGATATAACCGTAGTTTGGTGTAAGTATATATACAGAAAATGGCCGGGACAAAACTATTTTCGTTATATCCGTCAGTTCGTTATAAGCGTGCTCGTTATAAACGTAGTTTACTATATATACAAAATATCCTAATGATGCTCTTCTCTTTAGAACAATCGGTTTATCAATAGGAGGACTTTGTCAGTAATTATCTCTCATGTGTAGTGACTATAGGATTCCGAATCCCGTAACGAGATTCCAAATAAGGACCTTATGGAAGTCTCGTCCATATTATAAAATAGATTATCCCCGCCAGTTTGCTGACAGCGTAAGGATGGCATATGCATGCAGGTCTATACATACTATACTTGTAATGCTTATGTACAAGAGCTGCACTTTTGAACCTAAAACAAGAAGCAATATGAAGTGAACAAATGAAGTGAAGGCATTGGTGCACAATGCATTTCTATATCAAAACAACCTGTTAGATTGCCTAGATGTAGTGTTTAAATCATATATACACCAAAGTAATGCCAGTCTCTGTCATGCCTCAGTGGGTTTATCCTTGATACTTTAACAACCAACTGATCACCAGCATTGAGTTGCAGGAGTCCATGGATGTTACTGGAGTATTCCAGGCTAGCGCCGTCAATGATGTCGTTTTTATTCTCAGACACTGCGTCAGCAAGTGCAGTTTTATTCGTCTGTTTTAATGCATTGTATCGCATTATGGAATGGTGGAAATTAGTTTCTGTATCTCCACGACGATTCCTTTCTGTGTAGAACTTGACATGGCTGTATACAGCATACACACCCGTGGCGGGGATTATAATGCTGCCATTTTCATACCGCATCTCGTTATACAAGAGTTGTCTCCCTGGTCCAACAAACGGCACCCATGTTTTTATAGATGTGTCATTTACATTCTCTGAAATTAAGACCATGTATTATTGGTCACAGAAACATGCATTATTGGTTAGGATAAACAATACATATGCACACAAATCTGAAGAAGAACGCAACGCAGATCGATTGTGTGAGAATAATTACATCAAAATATGTGTGTTTTTTCCTCAGTACAGTAAATAGTACTTATTTGACCCAACAAAAGTGAGCTGGTTATCTTACCAATGTGCCCAAGGAAGTCCAGTCCAGTAAGATATGCTATAGGTTTCAGCAGGTTCAAGAATGCCACTGACGTGCTCGGTTGCCTTGCACCTGTATCAGATTTAAACATTGCCTTATAACACACGCAATTGACATAGTAGAGCCATGATCAAAACAAATCATTCAACTGCATTTTTTGCATTATTTTCTGCATCAATGCATACGAAGTTACCAAAACCTTTAACATGTGTATTTACCAAGCAGTCTTAAGACAATTATTACAGCTGAATTATTGCTTTGGTAAAGCAGATTATTTAAGAAGAATTATTTTGGTTTCATCCACTTACCTTTCCGTTCATGAGTACCATTATCATTATCGATTATTATTTTCAATCGGTCTTCGTATATCTGTAAAATGATTACACACCTAACAAATTGTATAAATTATGGTATTCTGAAAATCAGCAACAATAATATGAACATGATAAAAGTACTGTTATTATTATTATTATTATTATTATTATTATTATTATTATTATTATTTTTATTTTTATTATCCAGTATAATCAAATTCAGTAAAACATTACAGGTAGTATACTCTGAAATTTAAAAATTAAGATCAATATTTCTGCTTACCTTGCTGATTTGTTGCTTCAGACCTTCTGTGTTACTAATCTGCGTACCGTGTTTACTGGATGCTACACTGCAGATAACTGCAATGCCTACTGCTATATTCAAGAGAAGAAGTGATGCACACCCAACTTTCCCAATCCTTTCCATGATTGACCTTTACGTCTTTGTGTTGCTGTCCGATTCTGAAACACATAAGGGCGAATTCATATTTTAATAGTTAGTCAGAAACACCAGTTGGCCAGTGGTATAATATAAGGCGCTGCAGTTCTCTAAGAGGGTCTACTTCGAACCCCACATGGCTTATGCCAAGTTTGAAATCTAATTTGCTACTATTATATACTCACTAACATTACATTTTGCCATACTGCTGCTTATGCATTCCAGTCATGGTTTGCAATTTGAACTCCCATTCTACGATTATGATCTCCAAATACAACACTGGAGCATGGTATTATAAAAGGACTTAGTACTCCATATAATGTTTGCATATAATTCAGCTTTCTTGTACACAGGGAGCGTGTAAATATATGACAAGAGAGTTTGTGCAGCACCTTTATTTGTGATCTGTTTCCGTTTTACTTTTGCATTTTGATGTGACGTGGCAGTTTTTGTGACAGCTCTGGTAATGTTTCACAATGATGTCGATATTGTTCCTTAGCTTTTCTGGATCATTTTCACAAGCTTTCATTGCCAAAGAAATGTGTGTACGAATAGAACCAGCTTTGTCGTCCAGACCTTTGGTCCACCCCTTCCCTTCCTTCTTCTGGGACCCCACAATAATGGTCCGTGTATTCCAAGCCAAACCTTTTTTTCATTTGCCAAGTGACATTGGCCTTTTGAGCGTCAACTTGTTCTCTTACAAATCTTGTCACTGATGCCTTGATATGATGTGAATATACAAGGACTGGCACTTGTAGCTTGTCAAAATGATCGTATTTGTAAATTCAATACGGTCAAGTCTTTTAATAATGGGGTCATTTAATTTTGAAATGATTCATAAACTAAGCACCCTGTGGGTAAAATCCCCCAAACAGTTTCATTTAACTGTCCTGGTACATGTACATGCATCACTACAACCAATCATAGGACACAACCGCTCAGTTGTGCGTATCAGCTTCCACCAATTAGCCTGTGTTGCATATTCTTCAAATATAGACCGGATCCTAATTTCTTAAACGTTACATGCATGCATTTTCACTTGTATTGTGATACAATATGACATATTAGATAATTGCCTGCTTCATTCCTTCCACCAAGTTTCAGCTAAACGTGTTTACAATAACCAATTGAACCAATCCACAGAATAGAAAAGAACTGGAAACTTACATGATGGTGCTCTGTTTAAACCAGTCCACGTCAAACTGATCATGTCAACCAGCCTGTGATGTACTGAACACAACCGACTTGTACACAATCTTGTCAGAAACGTTCCAAAGCTGACAATGAAGTTTTATGATGTTTGTAGTGAAAACATTCAACACTGCCATGCAACAACCAGCCTGAATTGCATGAACCCTCTTATCATTTTTATCAAAGGCTTCACACCCTGAAAAGAAATGAGTTTGTATGATGTATGCGTTTGGAATGCATTTGTATGGTCTATTTCCTGTCGTGTCGTGAATACACCAAACGGGTTTATTTTACGTCAGGTTTATAAATTCATGCACGACTGCGCAAGCAATTCGATACGCTTCTGTTAACACGGAATGAAATATAATAATACGTGAACAGATTCAACCGATCTTTAGTTTGTTTGTGCGTTGTTTAACGCCGCCCTCAGCAATATGCCAGCTATATGACGGAGGTCTGTAAATAATCTAGTCGGGACCAGACAATCCAGTGATTGACATCATGAGCATCAATCCACGCAATTGGGATACGATGACATGCATCAACTAAGATGCGGTAAACCAGGTAACACAGTATAAACCATTATTTCAGGCTCTCTTCTCACATTATGCTCAATCTAATGCACACCTATGAGTGAACTTAATACTTTTATATAGTCAACGTCAATCACCCTTACAGATAAAATACATCATATGCATTTTATCACGTATTGGATATGTAAGCTACATTTACAAATAATTCCATGCGTAATATTAATGTAATATATTTGTATAATCCCCTCCCAGTCTAAACACAACATATGATCTTAATGCATCCATCCGCTTCTTGACAACCTACGTGTAATATAATCTTGCAACAATCCGTCCTTCTCTAATGAACATGTGATGTAATGCATCCATAAGCTCCTTGATAATCCACATGTTAACATGCAACAACCCATCGTCATCCAATAGCATGCCTCGATCCGTCTCGATGCAATACACATGTTCCACCTGCCCTGACCTGCTCCTATGGAATATGTATGTAGCCTACAAACAACAGGGTCCCGTCCTCCCCTAGATAATACACAAATAAGTTGCATGTTAAACGCACTTCTAGATAAAAGCTATATAGTAGCATGCATTTACGCCACAAAGAAGCTTATACCCTCCTTTAGATAATGTACATCTTAGTTACACGTACAAATGCACTGAGTCTCTCAGATTGTATGCATGTAAGCTACATGCACACAAAAGCCCCTTAGTAATGCCAAATACAATATTTTTGCATCCGTCCGCCACAAGAGCATAACTAATCAATGCAAAGCGTACGAGACATATACATGAAGACTATATCAATCCATCTGTACCTAGATAAAGAACACCACCAACTCAGGATAATTATACTATACATGTAATCACTCGTTCCTTAATAATATGAAAGCAGCAAACATTTTCTCATCATCGCCTTGTTAATGACTACGTTATCTACCTGCACCCTCCCGTATTTGATCTGCATGCATCTATTCGCCCCAAGGCACCAATCCGACAATAAATAAAATACATTGAAAATATATGCACCTGTGATCATTTTCATGTAATGTAAGCTAATGAAAAACACACATCCGCCTGAAGGTAATATACTAGTAACAGACATGCAACTAACTTGTCTTTATATACTCGTAAACTACTTTCACCAATCAGCTCCAGTCGACCAAAGATAATAGGTATTAATTAATGTAACCTATTCACCAGTGAGTAATAAAGATGCAAACGAGTTGCACCACCCACCCCTAGGGTATATACATGCGAGCTACATGCACCCACCACTCACATACAAGACATGACAATTATAAGCATCCAATACAAGAAAATACTGCACATGTAGTGCACATATATGGACTCTCCCTCCCCCCACCCCAATCAAATAAACATGTCATCTGTATATACCTATTCGTCGATTGATATTATTTAGAAACATATTATAATGAAATTATACACGTGTGTCTCATGACCTGTGACTTGATGCTTGTCCATTCCAAAAGTGTCTTTGAAATATCTACCATTTTTCCTCAGTGAAATACCCAAAGACTATTAATAGTTGTATTGTTAGTCCAGATCTTGTGACTGATTTTCTACTCACTTGTTTCATGCCTGAGTGTCTATATATCGAAATACTATTCTATATATACAGCGCCCAAGCACCATAATATCATCAGATTAAAGCCAGATCGGACAAAGCGCCTTATTTTCATGCAAACAATTAAATGGGTATGCTTCTTTTAAAGGAGATAAATTGCAGCTGTCGTTGCGAATAAGAGAGTGAATATCCTCATGATCATCACTGTATGGATTCAGGCGCCGTGGCAGTTTGTCACGTATCACTCAATGCAATGCATGGTGTCTTACATAAGGTATCCTGGCTTAGAATAAATTAAGTTCAGTTATGTAAACTATTAATTACGTTACTTTTGCGATTCAGTACATAAGCTAACTTTTTGCCTCTGCATAGAAATATGCGTATATATGACGAGATGTTCAGCATGCATTGCACCCCTGTACCCTTTGGGTGAGTGTTTTTGACGTATCAGAACGCTCACACAGCTTCAGGTTTTGTGGACAGGTCGGCTTTGCCATCAACGCATCCTGCGGCTCAGAAAAACAATAAACACCCGGACAAACTGAGATTCGGAAAGAGCGTTACAGACGCTGGCACTTTTCCACATTATGTATTGATACATCATACTACATTCATACATACTTAAACGAAATAATCGTACATTATCAAAACGACATGGCAGCAAAATATGTACAAGATAACGAGTAGCACGTTGACGCGGTTCTTTAATTGTCCATTTGGAATATCAGTACAATGTACACCTAACGTCACTTGATACATCACGTATTCATGTACATGTAATGTAAAGTTGTCATACAGATCCTGAAACAAATATGTCAAATACAGCCTATGTATGTCTACATGGGTAGTTGTACACTTGAGTTGAAATAAAATGGATTAAACACTGATCCAAGCCTATCGGGATAATAGTAAGGTAGATCCAAGTGCATTCACTTTGTAAATGGAATATTATGCGTAACAAATGGACTTATTTGTCTACAATTATATATCGCGGAGGCAATATCAATAATTTGAGGAATTTCATTATGATCAATAATATGTTTATCAGTTTATCTGTTTATGGAGTAGCATAGTGAAAAAAGCGTTTGCTCACCACGCTGAAGGCCCGGGTTCGATCCCCCAAATGGTAACATGTGCGAGCCCATTTCTGATGTCCCCTGATGTGATATGTCCGGGTTATTACACTTACTCACTCACTAGATTTATGATAACTAGTTGCATCTTAGACGTGTTAAAATTTCATAATGTCACAATTTCATTCATATAGTTATTCAAATGTTACTTCTAACGAATGATAAAACGGCTTGTAAGTTATTACTATATAAAGTAGACAACAATATCTGACACTGATTGAATACGATGCATATTTTCAAATAACTATTTGTTGAAGTTCATTTTCCGAATCATATCATTGACTTGTTTGGAAGCTAAACTGATCTGAAAAAAATCAGTATCTGTTTTAGTTATGCGCCGGAAAAGTATTCATAGCTCAGAATAATATGAATGACCTTTAACCTCCTTAATACTGCCTAAACATTGGGCTTTTCTGACAAAATGGTTACATTGGATGGAATTAATAACAAATCTGGTAATCTACACAGAATATCATCTGTTTTAACTATGCTGCGAGACAGATGGCATGAATTTGACCAGCTATCAAAACATTTCTTCATTTGATTTAGTAGTAATGGTACAATAGACTGGTTTTAGTAAAGACTTCTTACGTATCCAGTTCCTAAAAACAATCAGTATTAATAATAGTTATAACAGCTACATGTGCTGCACAATAAATACAACAGAATGCTCAGTGTCGTGAAACAACCATCATCCTCCACACACAGCAAATGCCACTCCACCATCATACGCAATCAAAACAGAAACAGCAGCTGTGCACAGCATACATGAGCACTCACGGCCACAAACAAGACAATAAAACAAGCCCTTTTCAGAAACATAAAACCAAATCTACACAATTGCAATCTGTGAATATTTCACTGAACATCTGAACCTAAAGCCTAATATATAAGTATTCACTATGTATGCAACATACCAAAATCGGTCCCCCCTGATGTAATATACCTAAAATTACACAATACTAAACAATAAGATCAACAACCATTAATATACCTTACACTCAATTTAATCGAATATCCAACTATTTTAGTTCACTCCCACAAAGTAACAACAGCAGTACACTTTCCTTCTGCTGAAAATGGGCCAAACATGATGTATTCATTGGACACTCACATGACGGGGAAACGATCATCCAAAATTTATTTTTATCCCATGCATAATATCTGAAGGTAGTTTCCTATAAACATTTGCTGGTAGGTTAACAACTGGCACACAGTTGTAGCTTAGCTTATAGTATTGCAATATGTGTAACAAAACGCAAAACGCTCCCCGTCATTGGTTGTTTGCAATAGCTAATCAACAGCAGGTTAGATTCTATAACTTTTAACTCTGTAAAAAAGGAACTCTAGTCAACTTACCCGATCGTATAAATGTGTTTCAATAACGGTTGCAGGTTTACTGGCTTTCCCTTGTGGGGTATTCGAACGTCATGCTGACCGAATCAATGATTCCCGAGGAAATGTGCTATTTATAGAAATGAATGACGGTCGATTGTGTCCGGGCTTTAACGTTGCGTAATCGTTTTATCATGCTTAGTTATTCGGTCGTGTACATGTATTAACAATAATTTCCTGATGTTTACACATTACTACATGTATATCACGTGGTGTCATGAATTTAACAACCTTTTTTGAAGTCTATATAAATCAGGACACGACTGCGTGCGCTACTCATTACGACATGGCGACACCATCACGATAGGTAACAATGGACCTCAAAATTGTGCGACAATGCATGACTTGAAAACAAGGCGCATCCGTCAGCACTGAAGAATACATAATACATGCACCCATTTCGCCTATATGTAATCTATACACAACCTGATACTTTGTACATATTCTACAAGCACCGAGGATCACGTACTCAAGTACTGATAGGTTTCGAAACTCATTCCACAAGTGTGCCAGCTTCCTATGACCATTTTCGGTCGATAAAAGCTTATTCTCGTGGACTCGATCAAAGCGGTAAATGTCTAATCATGGACATTCGAGTACCTGATAGGACAGATGCTATCGTGTGAAAATCATACAAGTAGGTGAGCCGCATTATGACGTTATTTACAATTTGTTGACAACGCACAGTGCCACTGTTCGTTCTTTGAGTTGCCATACAGAAAGTCTGAGTTGGATGAAGATGAATATTTGTAGTGTGACAACTGGTAAATATAAATCGTTGCATATTTCATCTCGGTCTCATCGGGTGTAGAAAATCATTTGCATGTATCAGGCCCACAGATCATATACATGCATGTTACTTATACTGTGATACTATAGCTAATTATAAGAAAGTACACTTGTCTGGGGTCCCGTACTTAGCAGTGCAGGATTCCTATATGGTCATGGTTCAAATTCCAGACTTCCACATTGATTCCTATTCTGTCATGAACATATGGTAGACCATTTCAAAAGTTATTAATAAAATGTGACAAATATATCAGTTTGAAGCAGAGATCATTCAGACAAAATTCACCACTTCGAAAACAATCTTGTTTAAAGTGTTAGTACTGTCACAAACCCAAAGTGATAGATCGTCCGCTTGGTGTTGATATTGGCCATCAGAAAACCACATGACCATAATGTGATACTCTCGATAAAAATAAATATTCGTTTATTTCGATCGAAAACTGACAACAGGAAATGTGTTTCCCATTGTTTCCGAGTCTGTTTCCGTCTTGCAAGTTCTTGCACACACCTCTAGTTTCTTTATCCTTGTACCTTTTCTAGCGTTGTCAAATGTCAATCTGTCACACGCATTTTAAAGCTTAGTTTATTAGTATTTGTGCAACACAACGGTCCGTGTCATTAGAGAAAATAGATGATGTCACACAACTGTAGTGTAAGTAAGTGAGTATGGTTTAACGCCGCTTTTTACAGTATTCCAGTTATACCACGGCGTGTCAGCTTTATGTGGGAGGAAAGCCCGAAGTGATGCAGGTCTCAGACGTTTACCACTTCGGTGAAACACTCGAGCACGGGTATGGTGCTGACAAACCTAGAAACATAATCGGGGTGAACCGGGATTCGAAGCCACAATCATAGGTTTCTGGCGTGTCCAGGGGACGCAACTCTGCACAGCGAATCGCGGCGCCTTAGATGACTGGGCCCCCCGTGCCCCCCACAACTGTTGTGACCTAAATCGGAGCGTATGAATAATGTTTATAGAAGCTAGAAGTATGTTACTTTCTATGACACACTGTGTACAATATCTGTTTCCAAGGAAACCGTTTGGTCACCTAACCTGACCCCGTGAACCCCCTATTCTCACTGTAGTCGTTTTACATTACGTTTCATTTCAAAGGGTGATTGCTTCAACACTCTCGCGATTGCCGGCGTCGACAGAGAAAGCCACACGCTGATCGACTCAACGATTCCCGAGGAATTCTGTTATTTATAGAATGACACTAGTGAGACGGGTTTGTTGCATTGTTGCATGACCCTTTTTCGACGTCCTTGCTTATCCATTCAGTCGTGTGTACAGTTGTCTTGATGTTGACACAGTACTATATACGTACCTTAATAATTAAGTTTGGTGTGCTGATTATCGACATTTTATTGCATAAAACGGATCTGCAGACAGGTTAATTTTTCCGTACTTAGGTTATTGAAATATTGCTCTCATGATCATTGCCCCAGAGATGCATGACGTTTGCATGTGTACGCTCTATGACACACGTCAGAAATGTTACACAGCCTGCACACGTTAGTGTACAGTGAAACCTGGTTAATCTGCATCCCATTAATCCTGAGGTGAAAGGCCGACACGTTATTATTCACCCTTTCACTTTAATGCATATGCATACTTGTTTTCATTACCATCATAACCTGCGTCACAAACTTGATTTATGCTTTATATAAATATTCCATCATGGTCACACTGTTGCTCAATGTCTATTGATTCGTCTGCCAGAAAGAACGGAATATACACGCACCCACCCTTAGACATATTCAGATTTAATCGTATGAGGAAAAGAAGATCTGTTCACCGAGAACAGATTAGGCAATCACCATTGCACATATTCCTATTAGTATAAATATGACTATTACTACCACAAATCGACATCTCCTGAATTCCCATCCAACCCGTTCTGAATTTATACATACATGTAAATGTACTAGTATTCCTGTTAAAAACACTCCTATGTCTATATTGCTGCAAGATGCATAATAGTTTCGTTCTGACTTGTACAAGTGTAAGGTTTGGGTTTGAGTAAATGTGGATATAAAACTGTAGCTTCAGAACTACTTTATCTACTTATTTCAAATGAATATGGATTCGCCTGGCTGTCAAATATTGTTGGCGATCGATGATGTTTTTTCACGTTGTTTAAAAAATGTACTTTAAGGGTGTTTTATAGGATGTCCCCATGGGATAACAGTTCCAGATATCATATACAATTAACGAATACACAATGCCATTTAGAACGTGGTCAAATGTAACAAATGTTTCTTAGTAAAGTACAGATTCTCGTACTTTTTTGGGTTGAGTCCCGTCCGGGATTCGAACCCACACTTGCCAGAGTGAGGCACATAAAGTCAGCGATCTAACCCACTCAGCTACCGAGGCTTCCACAAAAATGAAAGTCCGACAACTTGTAGTCTAGATCACGTACTTTGAGTACCCCTCTGACAAGTGTAAATTGGTACGACCCCCATGGCCGAAAGCTATGAATACACAATCCCAGACGGGACTCAACCCAGTACGAGAATCTGTACTTAATAAGAAAGTGTTATCCCAAATATAACATTTGTTACAATTGACCACTTTCTAAATGGCATTGTGTATCCCAATTGCGTGGATCTATGCGCATGAATCAGGGGAGTGTCTGGTCAAGACTCCATCATCTTACAGACCGCCGTCACATAGCTGGAATATTGCTGAGTGCAAACAAACAAACATACCAAGTACAATTTCCAGCTGTACTGACACACAATGAAAACGCATAATCGTGTTTAAGGGATCAGAGAAGATGTGTTTGTAGGCTCAAATCCATCTCCAAACACATCAAATAAGATTCGAACCTACACGACGACAGTGTTGAGTTTGATTATTGCATGTCTAAAGACATCGAACAAATGAACTTGATTTTTGTAGACATTTTTCCAATTATAACAAAGTTCGAATAGACATTTTCAAAGTGTGTCAGTATATGCATTCGGTTTTGTTATTGAATAGAAAGAACACAGTGCGTTAAATATGTATATGTTTATTCATATGGAGTAATACTATTTAAATATATATACATTAATTTACTTACATACATTCACGTTCTTGGGGGTCAATCTGGTAAGAGGCGACTAACGGGATCAGGTTGATTCTTGTAATCGATCCCAATTTCGTGGATCGATGCTCATGATATCAAACACTGGATTGTCTGGCCCAGACTCGATTATTTACAGACCGCTGTGATACAGCTGGAATGTTGCGTTAAACAACAAACACGCACACAATCTGGTAAATGGAGATTTTTCCAATAAATATTTTGGGTTTTAAAAATTTGGATGCATTACGGAATATACATCATTTGAATTATTATCAATTTTAGACAACTTCTAGATTGCCGGTCAAAGTAAATTCAAATAATATATGCTCCAAAATAATGCCAATCCTTGTCCGACTTTAACAGTTCCAAATGCGACACATTTACTATGACCAGGTCTCCAGCATTCAGCTGCACCAAACTGTGGATGTCACTGGAGTATTCCAGACTTGCTCCGTCAATGACATTGTTCTTGTTCTCACACACTATGTTCCCCGATACAGTCTCTGTCTGTTGAGACACAGCATTGTATCGTGTTATGCTGTGATGAAAATCAAGCTCGGGATCAACGCGATGATTTTTTTCTGTGTAAAATTTTACATGGGAATAGACGACATACACTCCAGCGGTTGGGATAGAAACACTTCCGTTTTCGTATGTCATACCATTGTACAAGTACTGTCTGCCTGGGCCAACAAACGGTATCCAGTTCCTTATTGCAGTGTTTGTAGGCGTATCTGTCAAGAAAACACAGGTACATATATGTCTATATCATAGAGTAAGTGATCATGCACAAACTATATTCATACATGTGTGATATGATTTCAGTTATGCCTATATGGATTATATGACTGAAAATCTACATTCAGATTATAATCACACTGTTTTGAACCAATCCTTGGTAAGTCACATTTGTAGCATGGAAGTGGCATATTTCCTTTGATGTCAACCATGCAATAACTCCGATTCCCTATTAAGGGTTTGATTCTCCGTTATAATGTTACGAGTTCGTGTTACTACCAACATGAATCGACAGAACATGATTTCAACAATCATATGATATCCCTCCTGCATGTATTCATATACACATAAATAATCAAACGCCGGAAAACCCTTTCCATATTCGTAAGAAATAGCTGCCGAAAGGAGAGTCCATTGAATGATTCCGAGTATATCATTGGCATGTGTTTATGAATCACTATCGCATGTGAGCGCATCCTTCTCCAAAGGAAATTCAAGTAATAGTTAAACTTCAAAAACGGGAAGATGTTGGTAAAAGCTGATGGAATATTTCAGCGAGAATGGGTTCACTATTGAAAACTTCATGCATACTTCTTGGAAATATATCATATCCCCCAAACTTCACATAAATATTATTAAGTACAGTTCTCAGTAAACTTCAGATGACATTTGCTTTCATTTTACACCCATCTCCACGTTTGTAGTGACAAATGCCCCATGGATGAAGAAGTTTTTTTCTGAACTTTTTCACTGGGTATAGTGGTGTACACATTTGCCAAAAAATGGACAGAGCTGAACTCAATTATTTTCTGAGACTGTAACATGGGTCTCTAATTAAACGTCCATGTGTTACATTAATTTGTACGTCATGTGGCGGTGACGTGAACTGAAATTTGATTGCTAGGTCCTCCCGACAAGAAAAGTTCGTTGTTGACGTATGACTTGTCTAAACTCGTTATTTCAAGGTTGTGATACTATTTCCCTACGCAAACTCGTAACCGCCTCGAAATATTTCCTGATTCAGTCGCATTTCCATTGCCCGTCTAACACGTTATACAACAGTTATATTAATAATAAATGCTTACATTAAGAAATCACATACACAAGGTTCGAATGGTACACTGGTAACGTACACCGGTGACTGTCCTACAACAAAACGATGTTGAACTGATTTGAAACATATGCTGCAGATGAGATGAGAACATGTTTACCTTCGTTGTTTTCGCCAAAGTCAAGTCCGGTCAGAAATGCGATGGGCTTCAGAATATTCCAATAATCTAGTGACGTAATGGCTTGTGGATCTGTATGAATGTAAACATATATTATAGCACACTAGGCGACACTAGCCAAATTATACCATTTACATTATATAAACGTGTTGGCACAATATGTAAAGCCATGTGAACGATGGCAGAGAGGGAACACATTTTGTTAATATATATTTCATCATGTTTATATGTATTGAGTTTGAGATGGATTTTAAGTAAAATGTGTATGTCTCTAGCACAGGAAAACCCACTTACCTCGGGGGTGATGCGGAGTCTCCCGAGGATCAACATAAATCTGCAATGACCAGTGTAAATATTGAGATACTCTTTCTTTGTTTGGAAGAGGAAATATTTAAATAGCATGCTGAATTGGATACGTACATGTGAACTCCTAGAGAAGCACCTACTATCGATGGTGATACATGGTGATCTTTAATCTATTTTTTTCAGATATCGTTTTATGTGAACGATCAACTAACGGACATACATACTTTTAAAGGATATAGATGTTCATACGTGTTAAATTTATTTAGTCATACGTTTGCAGCACAATGTTCAGTGCAGCCTACAATATAGCATTTACGACTGACAGTTGTGAGCGGGTTTCAGTTAATTAATTTCATTTAAAATTAGTACTTCGTCGATCTGCTTCTTCAACTGCTCGGCATTGTTCCAGAGTGTTGCAGCAGGGGGCCTGTGGTGTTCCTCCTCGACAGTCACCACAACACAAATAACTGCGATTCCAACAGCTATGTTAAGGACGAGCACAGCAGCGACGACTGCTTTCGTCGCTTGCATGGTGTTTCATTTGACCAAATAGGATATTGTTCCTAAAATGCATTGAACATAAATTAATCATGTACAAATGTTGTATGATGCAATTTGTAAAATGATGATCGGCGTCATATGCTCCAAATCAGCGTATTAGACACGAGACGTCACCACGCTAATAATATGTCGTAAAGAGCTTGCAATTGTCTTAGTATCCAAGAGAGCAGATTGTCCTTTTATTACAATGGGGAACTAATTCGCACAGATAGACGATTTCTGATTTACTTAGGTAGCTATTATGATCAGCCATCCTCTGCTAATATTCATATCTGAATAGGTGGGAATAATATTTATATTCCTAACTTGTTTATGTAATATTCTCTTCTTTCTTAAAACCACCACATAACTTTGTGAACTAACCAAATGAAATTTCAATTTATTTATTGACATTTTACTTATTATTCGTCCACCCGAATGACGCACTTGGCATTATTACACTTAAAGTCTCCATACATATTTAAAGTGTGCATTTAATGGTAGAAACGTTCTGGAAAGCAATACCATGATTACATTTTCACATTATATTTTCAGAATAAAACATGCATTATATGTGTTTAAGAATGACAATAATTACTTAACAAAAACAAGACTGCAAAAAGGCTCCGTATCCGTTATCTAGCACAGGAGAGTTGATGCAATATTCATTGATGCATTGATAAAATATTTAGAATACCTTAATATCTGAAATACATGTACAAATTATACAACATTAAGGAAGGCGATCCTAAATTTCTGTTTAAAAAAAAATATTAAGAAAATGAGCTTTGTTTACGACTCAAATGCGCATGTACGAATTGAGACCGCAGCTACGCTAATAAACGATATTCACAGATCGATAAGCACGCAAAAATGAAACTGGAATAGATGTTCTTGGAAAGGGATTCCCCTCCTATATTTAGACAGTTCTGGTTTTTCCCGGTATATATTTATTTCCAGCCTGGCTCTATATTTAGCCTCGAACTACGCAGTATGAGACCTGGATGATATGTGAGCCAAGAAATAGTCCCTCTTCCACACTGAACTACTGGCACCAGGGCATGTTATATACCTGAGTAGTATCATTTTTACTTTTCATACTTGCCGGTGTATGTGTAATTACAAATTGGACAATCATTACGATAAATATATTAATAACATTTTCGTTGAGACAACACAGCCAACATCGTCATCTATATACCGTGAGATCTCATTACCCCACCCCGTGTACCCGGATTAACGGACTTCCATTGTACTCTGAGACATAGGTTTTGAATAAAAGTTCCTTACCTGTTTCACATAATCTGTGTTACCAGCAGTGGACTGTTATAGAACTGAATATGTCAGATCTAATTCATACAAAATAGTTCGCTTTATTTTCTTTCATATATTCTCTATTGACTAAAAACAGATGAATTAGAAGCAATAATTCCTTACACCTAAGCGATACATGTCGGAAACGTGACATATTGATCTATTCTGAAAAAAGTGTGGCGACTGAACCATGCATCTCCTTGTGACCGACGCCAATACAGCCGAGGTCACACAGCGCGTAGTGCGCGGCTGTACATGTATGCAATGTGTGAGGGAAACAGCATGAATCATATTACTGTATGATGTTCAGTAGGTTGGCAAGTAGATATTGACATGTACACGTACTTAAACTAATGTATACAGGCATGATATCGATTTAATATTTACACAAAACGTTCAGCACTACTCTGTTTCTTTTCATATATCCCAGAAACATCTTCAAATGTCATTCATCTCAATTTCATAAATGTCTTCGACACCAACGTCACCTGATGAAATGTTGTTGTTTTCCTGGAGGTTGAAAATATTGAGTAATATCACGTGATACATAGAATTGAAAGCGAAGCCCGACAACTGATTTATATAGAAATATATATTTATGTATGATTTACATTTTACATATTTTCAGACACGTGTATATAATTAAAAATGCATTAATATTGAACGCGACGTTAAACCAGATTTCACCTCACCTTATCTACTGCTACTACTACAATTACCACTGTTACTACTACAACTACTGACATGATGCATGATTAGTCAGACATACGACAACGCCATATATGTATTCCTCATTAAAGTATATGGAAATACTATGATCAGTTAATGTGCACAACATATATTTCTTTCAATTATTTGTTTTCAAATGAGTTTGTGTGAGAGGGAGCGTGTGAGTGTGTGTGTGAGAGAGTGTGTGTGTGTGTGTGTGTGTGTGTGTGTGAGAGAGTGTGTGTGAGAGAGAGAGTGAGTGTGTGTGTGAGAGGGAGAGTGTGTGTGGGGGAGAGAGAGAGTGAGGAAGTGCGTGAGAAAGGTTGTGAGAGTGTGAGAGAGAGAGTGAGTGTGTGTGTGAGAGAGAGATTGTGTGAGTGACTGTGTGTGTGTGAGAGAGAGAGTGTGTGTGAGAGAGAGAGTGTGTGTGAGTGAGTGTGTGTGTGAGAGAGAGAGAGTGTGTGTGAGAGAGTGTGTGTGTGAGAGAGAGTGTGTGTGTGTGAGAGAGTGTGTGTGTGTGTGTGAGAGAGAGAGAGAGAGAGAGAGAGAGAGAGAGAGAGAGAGAGAGAGAGAGAGTATGTATGAGAGAGAGACCAACATCCCACCCACCCGCCCCTATGCTACTGCCTAGGAATTATTTCTCGTTCAGCACCCATGTCACATCGGTGTCACATGTAACGCGTGACACAAGCGTGTGCCATGACCGAACACGGGACCGGGTTTCAGTTGAATTTGACAAAAAGACCAAATGAATAGTGAGATAAAAACAAAAAGAATGATACATGAAACTTGAGTTAATGATCGGCCATTACCTGAGTTCACTAGACAATAAACACAAGGTCGGTTCGTCTTCCTTAATATTCGGTTGCGACCTATATGCACCAGAAACCACACATCGGTATATGGTCTCTGTATGCCCGATTCGCTCGTCACGCCGAAGACCCGGGTTCGATTCCCGACATGGGTACAATGTGCGAAGCCCATTTCTGCTGTCCCCCGCCGTGATATTGCTGGAATATTGCTAAAAGCGGCCTAAAACCATACTCACTCACTCACTCACTCACTGTATGCCCGAATAATAGAAGTGATGTGTAGAGTTTACGAGGCGGATATAAGAAATACATGAATTTATAACATATAACTTATAGTAATGCAATACTAAATACAGAAAAAACTTATCTCGAAATTGTAAAATGATATTCAAGAAGTATGGATGAGGCATTGAAAGAGTTGCTGGTTTCCCTGTTCGGCTAAAGCAGGAAGCACACCTGGGCCTCGGCAGAAAACGGAACACAAATTATCACTGAGATTAAACCGCATGTATTTTGACTGATGGACAGTATTCCAGTTATTTCACGGTACAACAGCTTAATGTGGGAGGAAAGCCCGAAGTGAAAGAGGTCTCAGATATTTACCACTTCGGTGAAACCCACGATGGTGCTGACAAACCCAGAAACATTATCGGTGTGAATCGGGATTCGAACCCACATTCAAAGGTGCCTGGCGTGCCCAAGGGGCGCAACTCTACACAACGAACTGCGGTGCCTCAGACGACTGGGCCACTCGTGCCCCAAAAACACAACAGAGATGAATATATTTTCCTATGATTTGCGTTTATACACATGTAATATATCAACTTATCCTTTTTATCATCGTTGTGCATATAATATGTTGGTATTACCTTTCAGTGCATCACTATATATGCATCTGTACAAAATACATGTCAAATCTAATTTATGCAGATATGATTATTTTGAACAGACAAGCGTATGCCCGTGAAGCCATAATTTCGCAATCACCGTGACTGTCCTCACGACGTACTGGGATACTTGTCGCCAGTTGTACGCACTGGTCACGACTTGAAACACGGCCTTCGCGCCGCTTCTATTTATATCTCCAGCGGAGGATATCAAGTCAGGACAAAGGCTGTTAAAATAGTTGCATCATCTGCGATTGTCCTCAACTTGACGAAACCCCTTAAAAATATATTATCTAACTTCAATGTAGCCTGAATATTCGTAAGCTGTCATGATTTGTTTACATGCTCATCTGACTATCATTTCTTGATGACGATATGAACCCATTTTAGATTTACTAACCTTGATCTTGCTAAGACCACAGTGGCGCAGGAATACATTTGTACTCCAGTGCTGTGTCCTTTTTTTATTTTTACTATATTAAAAATGCAATGCTATTTTTCTGCAATTAGACAATATACTCGTCTCGATCCGTTTTATCCGGGAATATCCATTGTAGAGCGCTTGTCATACAACAACTATGAGCTATATGTTAGGTCACTGTAACCTTTCTATGTATAGATTATGTTGCAACGTCAGTCTCTATCACACTGTGTAGGTTCCTCGCGGTGAACAGTCGGCTCTCACTGGAGGACACATGGTGTGTAGTATGTGCAGAGCGATGGGAGGCATATTACGTAAAACGATCGATCGTCACGCTGAACAACTGCGTTCGGTTCCCCTTATGGTTATAATGTGTAAAGCCCTTTTCTTTTGTCCTCCGCCGTGATTTTGATGGGATATGATTAGCACCACTCACTTACTTCACTGAGTTTCGGATCCTTGGGCAATTTCAAATAGGTCACTACAAGTAGTAAAACTATCTAACTTTGACTTCATATGTGTTCGCATATCACACATGCATATGCAGTCCCAACTACCTAATATGCTAGGGTAGCTGTAATGTATGTGCTTGTGGTGCGACTGGTCTTCCTCTAGAGACTACTAAAACATTTCTTTGACTGAGGGAAGACACTCGATTATATATGTTCGTAACAGAGCAGAGATGGATGTGTTTCAACATAACGCCTAGATCATTCAACACATAATTGTATAACCAAATATCAAACATAAGGTTTGAATGTAATTTGTTTATCCTGGAAATCGCTGTCACGTGTTGATAATTAGGATCATACGAATACGAATATAATCGATATTTAAGTTTGTACATGCATGCTACAAAACAAAATATAATTGACAGTGACTGACAAAGTTTTAATGCGAACGCTATCATCACCCTCCATATACATCAAATAAAAATATCTGTATCTATTTTTCAATCTGTTATACACATCAATGTTGAACACCGTTAATACATATATTCAGCTCTCTGAGAGTCTTGGTCCCTTCATATCCCAACGACCGACTAGATCGCCAGAAGGTACTTCAGATCATGTAAACGCCAAAGTAAAACCAATCCGTAACAGAGCTTAATTTCGATACTCCTGATAAGTCAACACGAAGTTGATCCCCAGCATTGAGCTCCAGTATTCCACGGATGTCACTAGATAACAAGCCATCCCCGTCAATCAATCTCATCCCATAGCTATTCTCGATAACTACGTTCTTAAGTGCGATATTCTCCTCTTGTTTCTCCGCATTATAGCGGACTATGAGGTGATAGAAGTCAGTCTCTTTGTCATCGTGACGATATGCTTCAGTGTTAAATGTAACATGGCTGTACACGACATAAACACCGGCTGCAGGGACTATGATGCTCCCGTTCTCATACTGCATTCCGTTGTACAAGACTTGTCTCTCTTGCCCGACCATAGTTTGTGCGGCCCATCCTCTGGCAGGAGTGAGTTTATAGGGGTGCTCTGAAGAATTAATTTAAATTTAGCACATACCTATTTTTTTGTGAATGAATTTGAATCTGTAAAACGTAAATAAGATTCCAAAAACGTAGGCGATGTAAAGCTATAAACCACCTTTCGTGTTTTACACGATACGTATAGCCGATAAAACATGGTAATTGTTTATTTGTTCCTGAGATCAATTTCCTTCGACCAATGTGTGATGTCAGCAGTGAGAACGAATTGACAGGAAAGTATTACATATGACCATATGGTGTTTATAACGCAGTACTTAGCTGTCGTTGTATTCCCATGTGGTGCAACATCATATGATGACAGGTCCTTACCTTTGCCAAGGTCAGTGATGTTCAGCCCCGAGTAGAATGCATCAGGTTTCAGTAGGCTGTAAAGATGCGGGGGAATGTACTCTCTCCCTACATCTGTAACACATTAAAACTCCATAGAAAATCCGGGATAGAATAAGTCTTCAGCAACCATTGATTGCCTTAAAAGGCGACTATGCTTGTCGTGAGAGGCGACTAACGGGATCGGGTGGTCAGGCTCGCTAATTATAACTTGGTTGATGCATGTCATTGATCCCAATCGCGTAGATCGATGATATCGATCACTGGATTGTCTGGTCCAGATTTGATTATTTACAGACCGCCGTCATATAGCTGGAATATTGCTGAGACCGGCGTTAAACACCAAACCAACCAACCAAAGTAAAATCGCGCTTATGCATAAGGAACATGTGCAATGAATACGATTTTTATTGAAAACTGCAATTTTGCATAACTTATTTGGACATCAACATTTCTAGGAATAGAAAGGATGCTACGTGTACAAATATGACGTGCTAGGTGTTAAAATATATTTAACTTACCATTACTTTTCTTTGTGTTCCTGTCTGGCAATTTTCGTAGGCATTCCGTGTATGCCTACAATAATAGAGATACCAGTGAGTTTTGACGTTTTGCATTTTCGGGGTGTGTCTCATTTAAATGTTGTTTAGATCAAGTATATTATTCTTTCATGCATTATATTATCAATATCCCGATATACAACTTATTGTTTTAAAAATATTATTTACACTTCGCAACCTGAAAGAAAATGTGATGTACTGCCATCCATATGATAGAATATATGGGCGCTTTATTCCGTCTATTTAGTAATATCATATCATCATTTCCAAGAATAAAAGTTGTATATTAGTACTACTATAATTAATTTTAAATGTTATGAATGAAAACATATTTAAAAGTTTGTACGGACCTTGTCAATTGCTTCCTTCATATTCTGAGTGGAGGTGGAAGGATGCAAATGTGGTTGCTGATCAGCCAGTCGTGGCGCCATTTGACAAATAACTGCAATTCCTACAGCTATGTTCAAAATAGATATGGAAGCAAAGAACATTTTCTCAAGCGTCTCCATACTGTAGTCTGAAGCATAAACAAACTACAATTAGATATCGCCGAAATCAATTTCCGATTCCGAACTTTTGGGAAGCGAAGGACTTATCAGACACTTATGCATATCTATGTAATTGTAATATGTAATTATATTCTCTGTTAATGCAGGTACGTGGACTATCTTGAGCGCGATATGATGTATAGAAGTGCCTTCCTTGACACCAAACACACTACAACAGTTTTAACATAACTACCATGTGTTCAAACGGTTAACATATACTTCAGACACTTATCCTTTACATCAAATGCACTACAATATCTGCCATGTGTACAAACGGTTAACATATACTTGACAGACAGACAGACAGACAGACTGACCAGACACGTATCCTTGATACCAAACACATTACAACAGTTTTTACAGATATGGCACGTGTACAAACGTGTACCCTATACCTATCATACATACATCCACACACAGACACACACTGCTGCATGAATACATTACATACACACATACATGCATACAGACGCACGCACCCACACCCTCACACACAAATTAGTTATTAGCTACATTAAAACAGCAATTGGACACACACTTGTGTACATGTACAGATAGTAAAGTGAATCTTATTAAACATACTTCGTAAGACAAACTTAATCAACAACTGTTCCTAATATTAATAATCTTAACCTTACATATACCGTTCACGTCCGCTCACGACCGAGACGAATTTGCATTGATAACAATAAATAGGCCTCGCGTAGTAATACATTGAATCAATACAAAACATAGTTCTCGTGCATGACCATGCTGTGGTATGTTAGACATATTATTGCTATCAATCCAGAGTATATTACACATGTATGTTCATGTTCCTCATCATTTTGTGTATTTGTTGCCTTTGTTGTTGTTGCTTTTTAAGAAAAATGCATGCAGTGATTGTGATAGTGGTTTGGACAAAGGGTAGGCCAGGGGCTTCCCCGGGAATACTAGCGCTAGGTGTTATGGACCAGGTGTGACGTCACAATCAACTTGACGTGGACGCGGTGCATTGTAAGGGTGCAAACAATCAAAAATGACGAGAGGGGTTTGTAGATACATGGAGATAGGGGCTATTTTGTAAACAGCATTGTAAGGGTGCAAACAATCAAAAATGACGAGAGGGGTTTGTAGATACATGGAGATAGGGGCTATTTTGTAAACAGTACTGTATATTACCCGAAAGTATCTAAATAGAAACAAGACTTTCATTTGTTAGGTCATCGTGACAACGCTTGAATAATGTTGCCCAGTTTCTGTATAGTTTCATATGTATTGCTGACTTTTTCAATAAATACTCATTAAGAGTAGCCGTCTTATATACTTACGTACTCGAGATATTCCACCTTCTCTCACAGCATGTGTGATCAGGAAGCGTATCCTGGCAACGTCCTCAACGAATAACACACCTGTTGACTGAATGTTCACCAGGAGTACAAATATTGCCTTATATGGATGTCACTTACAGTGTCTCACTTTCGTGGAATGATGACATATATGCTATCTATAGAATTTACTCGGTATTTATAGGACGTACTCTATGCATGCGCATTGATAAACAGTCATGTGAAATCGATGTCCTTTGTAAAGAAATGTAAGGAAAGCATAACAGTGTTGAAAACCTGTATTGATGGGCTCTTTTACCTTCGCCTACAACACAAGTAAGCGGAAAGAAAATATTTCTGGTCATTCACTGGTAACATCTTCCATATGCATACACCTGTGAATTTAATTCATGTATTGAAAAAACGTCATTAAATGTTATAATATAATGGAGAAGATCAATTTACTCAAGGGTATGTGAAGGTTATTTTATGAAAACACACTGCGACAGCAGTCACCTTATCACCACTCAAACACGGAGTCACGCCTTGTTATTACACATTTGCTTTTGTAGTCTAAGGTCTGGCCCAGCGTTAACACAAATACTTTCTATCTGAAACACACTGCTTTACCGTGTCTCCGTTTCTTTAGTTGACATCCAGAATCCAGGTACAAATTAATAACTATGAAGTTGTACATACATCCGATACAACTATCAAACAATGTAAATGACATCTGTTTTCATTTTGTTTGGGAAACGGCACTGAGTCAGGATGGGAGAACATGTTAGGTTATTCTGTACGTCCTCAATAATTACTCCATTCTTGCAAGATGAGATCACGTGTATCTAAAGTTGTCTATAGTTATGTCAGGAAAGTGTACTCTATAGCGTGTTGACGTCAGCTATAAACTTGTATGCTCTTCTCATTATCATCCGACCTTAACGACTGGCATACGAACACCGAAATGCTATGTTTTTGGCTTTGTGTCACGCTAAATTATGCGATATATTGAAAAACTGCAACATACGGTTACTTAATACCTAAACGGCAATATCAAAAGTATCATTGTTGACCATGTAGCGGGTACGTTATAAACAGATATCCAACGTTGCTGACCCGACCGTGTAATACACTTGATCAGGGTTGAACAGATATAAAAACACACATCTGTCCTTGTCACAGAAGATATGTTTTATTTGAAGAAAGTTTAAGATTATCGTCAACAATTGGAACGGTTGTTAATCCAAGACAATGTCCACACCAAAGACAAGACACGTTTAAAATCACAATCTCCTAACTATATCTTATAAACTATCTGGCGAGTTTGGACGACAAAAAAATTATTTTTCAATCATGCTGAATGCATATGAATCAGATATAATCTTCTTCTAACACACATATGTATAACATTACACATTCAAAATGTTGCTTAAAGTTCACTGGAAGTTATTTAACGGTATGTGCAACGCATCTTAATGACTATGAAGGGAGTAATAGGTTCTATCAACCAAGTATGTTTAATTGATTAAGATGACAGTAGAGAAACTGTGAAATACATTACGTAACATACTGATGGTCAAACTTGTCGAATCTCATAAACCGAAGTTTCACATTCGTTTCCAATGCTGACATATTCTAAAGTTATATTAAACAAATAATTTATTTGAAATATTCTGTCTAACTATGCATGTATTATATTGTCGAATATATATAAATGACATAAAATGTAATGTTCTTGGCACGAAGTAATAAGGAGGGACATCTAACGACGAAGTATGAAGAAAGAGTCGGCTCATAGCCAGATTGACATACAAACGTGTATTCACACACGCTGGTAGACAGACATTAAAGGTATCATTTGCCTCGGAATACATTATTAACTACCAAAATTTAATTGTTCTTGCCTTTTTACAAACTACTCACACACAATTATTCACATTTGTGTTTGTGTCAGGGTATTAATTGCGACACAAAGCTTGATGGTTTCAAATTGTTATCAATGTGCCATTTTCGTGTATTCCCAGAATCCATTTATAATGTATACATCACATGCACATGTTCATTACACCTCCTTAACCTCGACAACTGTAAAATTGCCAGTAGGGAACCATCACGTCATGTATACTCCAAAATAATGCCAGTCCCTGTCATGTCTCAGTGGATTCATCCCTGATACTTTCACCAGCAGCTGATCACCAGCGTCCAGCTGCACCAAACCATGAACATCACTGGAGTACTCCAGACTTGCTCCATCAATGATGCTGTTTTTGTTCTCGCTGATGACATTCCTCAAAACTGCTTCTCCATTTTGCTTCAGTGCACTGTACCGTGTTATACTATGATGAAAATCAGACTCAGCATCGTCATGATTATTTCTTTCTGTGTAAAACTTGATGTGGCTATATACGGCATATACTCCAGTGGCGGGCACTGTGATGCTGCCATTCTCATACTTCATCCCGTTGTACAAAAGTTGTCTCTCTGGTCCGACAAAAGGTACCCAGTTTCTTAATGGTGTGTCTGTAAGGGTTTTATCTGAAGAATCAATATCAAAATTAACAGATAATATGAATAATGGATTTGTACAAACCTGACTATCCAATGGTTCTGGCCATGGGGTAATTTGTTAAGAAAGTAATTATAAAGAAAAGTTCCAAATATATCTGACAGTGTCAATCTTAATGTAATATCTTATCCGACTGAATTTGTTCTTATTTGCTGTATACTGTATGATATATATATATACTCTATTTACACTCTATTTACACCGTTTTTATTATATTCATTTTTTAATTCATAATATGAAGTTAGTTTACCATCAGTGTGACTAAAGTCTAGTCCCGGGAAGTAGGCTATAGGCTTTAATAAATTGAGGAATTCTGCTGATATGGTCGGTTTTTCTACATCTGTAACAAATTGAAGATATATTTTCACACAAACAGGGAGCGTGTCAATAAAATATGTTATCTTCACATTAATATTATTACCAAATTAGCTTTCTCTATAATGAAAACAATTATCATTGCAACAGAACGTTTAACATTCTGGTGAACGTGTTTCTCGTTTTTCATTTTGGTGTATTCAACTCACTTGTCCGTGTAAGACTGGGCATAGCAATGGTTGTTACGTGTTCCATGTATATCTGCAACACATGTCAGAATGGATAACAGTGTGATGTGCAGAATAAATAACAAAAGACCAACAGTCCAGACACATGTACGTTACTTTTTATCCATTCCTTCTATTTATCATTTTCGTCCTCCCAAATAGATATACACTTTGAATATTAATAATATATATATGTGAAATATTATGAGTGAAAAGTACATCCTTAAATTGTTACTTACATTGTCGATTTGTTCCTTTGTAAGCTGACCTTGTGATTGCTTTTTGGTTTGTCGTGACACCATTTGACAAACAACTGCAATTCCTACAGCTATGTTCAAAATAAATATGAAAGCAAATCCAACTTTCATACGTTTGTTCATAATGAATGCTAAAATGTAACGTCACATGCTCCTGTCTGAAACAAACAACAAACCAATTAGAAACCAAATCACCCTGATTTGTCGGAAATGTTGAGGAATGGCGGACCTAGTAGACAGTTCAAGCTTGTATTCTCTTTGACCTGTTTAATACAGGCATGTGGACAAATTTGAGGGTGCAATGATAACATTTTTTTAATATATGACTTGTGGTAACGTTTAATCATATACACACACGCGCGCACATATACTTCATAGGTGAGATTCACTGGTGTACAGTAGCACATACATATAAAGATATTCACACAATAATGGCACGACGGAAATTCTATTCCTATAGAATTTAATGTAATTGTCACTGAGAAGTGCACTCATATATGTGTAGCACATACATATAAAGATATTCACACAATAATGGCACGACGGAAATTCTATTCCTATAGATTTTAATGTAATTGCCAATGAGAAATGCACTCATATATGTATATAGATGTTTATTTAAGAATTGTCTTTCACTTTGTGTGAGTTCAATGGAACATGAACCGTCAGAGAGTGTGGGCCAAACTGTATGGACGTCGGCGCTTTTTGATATCACCATTTTGTACCTCGAAGGATGAAGTTCCAAACACACTTTTAAACAGTACGTGTGCCTTCTTGTTTACACTGGCAGACATACAACAGCCATCTATATCGCGGAATGACGTAGTTCCTCAAAAGGAGATGTGGTATTAACGTATTGTTCTACAGAAACATCTTTTGCAATATGTTTACAAGAATTATATTCAAATAATATCGTAATTAGATGTAAAAGGTCTGTTAAATTGTACCCAAGTAAGACAGTCACAATGCAAGTTATTTACACCAAGACGTCAAAATGTGAGACGCGATAAGAGTGACGGGAGAAAGTTGTTGATGAACCTGTGGCGATTACAGGACTAGAGTAAGTCATCTTTGATCAATAAGCCGTATTGAAAGGTGATTGTAAACATGTGTTAAATAAATACGTAGGGAAATTCACTGATTGCTGCGAACTGTATATGCCTGCCTTGACACGGATCGAGTCGATATCGTTGCTACGATAGCTTGGATGTGCATTTCACACACTTTCATAATGTTTGCAAAAACGCTGTTTTAACGGTTAAGATTAAATGGTGGAACTCACCAGCAACAACGCTTCTGCATATATTCTATCTCTATATATCTCTATCTATTACTGTATATACTATATATATATGCTCATAGAGTTATGGCTGTGTACGTAATAGAAAGTAAAAAATAACTATATGATGATCTGTTAACAAAAGAAATTATATCGATAAGACACTGTTAATCAACTGATGTTGTAAATATATTAAGAAAGAAAGACCTTACATCTACTGCTCACTGCTCACTGCCGAGAAGTGTTGTTGGACGGATAGTCAACAAACCAACGCTTAGTGATATCGGAGAGGGACTTCCCCTTCATATCCAGCTGTCTCGATTGCGTCGATTTAGTGTGACCCGGTAACATGTATCATTCAATGAACATGAATCACGATTCTAAAACAAATGATGATTGTTATCTTATCAACTGAAGTGGTCTAGTGGTGGAGCGTGTACCCGGAGACCGGAAGGTCGGAGGTTCGATCACCGGTGGCGTCATACCAAAATGATAAAGTAAGAACTTTTTGTAGCCTGCATCAAGGGGTTAAAAAGAGGATTAGTCGACTCGGAGTCAGTTTACTGTCTCTGAGTGGGGTATCCATGTTAAACTGTGGCATGGTATCTCAGTGGGCTAGTACTATAAACTCGGCATTAGTCAAGACTAGTACAAGCAGCCACACACACACACACACACACACACACACACACACACACACACTCTCTCACACACACACACACACACAAACACACACACACACACAACAAAGCAACATGGTATAACAAACGTAAAACAAACAACATCATGGCAAAAGATCCCTGGAAAGAACTCACCCCCCTGCAAAAGAAAATAGCCATACCATTCTATGCAATCGGCTTACTAGAAACGCTTCTGAATGATAATTCATTTGTAATGGGGACACTGATTGCCTTGTACAAGGGAGCGTTGTGTTTCGCTGTGAAGAGTTGTATCCCTCGGACGTGCCAGACGCGTTAGACGTCCCTCAGACGTGTTCCATGTAAGTCTGCATCTCTGTGATCGTTGTTTATGTAACTGAGACATACATACAGTCATTATAATACGGTCGTGTCAAATGTCAGCCAGGACTTCCCCGGGAATATCGCTTTAACTATACCTGGGAACATCTAACAGATTGTGACCCGGAGATATTTACTCATTTATTAGTGAACATGCGTCACGACTGTGAAACGAATGACGATAATAATCCTATAATATATTCAAGAGTCGCATCAATACATTCCACAATTCTGTAAGGTTTCAAATCCTTGAAAGTTCGTAAATAAAGAAGATGCATTTGTTTCTGTCTGTCTCTCATTTACTGTGATCTCTGACTACTACGTACAGGGGAATGTCCGAGTGACTCCCCATTCCTTAAAAATAATGGAACAGAGGCCGTTATATTACGCACCAACCATGGTTCTTCAAACACCATTAGCACACCCATCAAACAGTTACCAGCGTAATATGGTAAGATAATAATATGTCATGTAGCTGAAATAATGAAACCCCTTTATTATTTTAAAAATATCACCGCCTCAGTAGCCATATTGTAATAATTTATTGTTTTCAATAGAAAATAACCATATCCAGCTGAGTAACCAGCTTCTGAATGATAACTCTATTGTTGATGGGGCAACTGGTCGCCAACTCGTCTATATCTGTTGCTGAGCAGAGTTGTATGCCACAGGCGTGACAGAACCCAATGATTTCAGATTCTTCCAATTACGCCTATTTCAGCACCATACTACACTTTCGAAACTTTCCCCCAAAGTGGGAGTGTCTAGGACGTGCCTCATTTCATGTTTTCTTTCCCGTCAAGTTGACTCAACGTGGTGTTTCTCTAATATTAAAGCAGCATAAAACATCACTCAGTCACACTATTAAATGGATTCATCAAAAAGTATCAACCAAGATGATACATTAATTCATTTACTAATTCCTCGCTCTCGCATAACCCAGCTTTTGGGTCAACATGACCGCGTGATTATATCGTATCGTAATATCCAAAATGAGGTTAAATCCTGTCTGTGTCTTGTCTCTGACGGTCGCCCTATTCACCGCCACTGACGAGTTCTTGTGATAGGTTTTGTTCAGCGTCGAACAAATGTGGGGTTATATGTGATGTTGAATGCCAAACAGTGTTGTTCACGTGGTGTGCATTAACTCCCCCCCCCCCCCCCCCCCCCCCCCCGAAGCAATATGTATTCAGATATTTATCAGTGTTTGGAAGCTACATCCTTTTTCTTAATAAAATTAGTATAACTCGTCCGTCGTTCATGTTGTCGAGGTCAGTGTTTGTAAAGTAGGTATAAGGAGGTATGATAAATGCTGGAGAGATATATGACTAGAGCTGTGGTGTGTGGCGGTGAAGAGTCGGTGTGGGAGCAACTGAGTAGTTTTGCTAATGGAAGGTGAGGTGAGGTTTAACGTCGCGTCGAAGATTATTACACTTATATAGCGACGGGCATGCACTGTATGTGTGTGTGTATGGCTGCTTCTACTAGTCCAGACTGATGCCGATTTATAGTGCTAGCACACTGAGATACCATGCCGCAGTTTAACATGAATACCCCGCTCAGATAAAGTATACTGACCCGAGCCGACCAGTCCTTGTTTTAGCCTCTTAATGCCGAGCACCAGACAGGGTTACAACAATTACCATCTTTTAACGTCTTTTGGTATGACGCAGCTGGTGATCGAACCCCGGACCTTCCACTCTCCGGGCGGACGCTCTACCATTAGACCACGGAGGCGGTCCGCTTACGGAAGGGAATGGGCTCTTCGAAAACGGTTTTACCTCCATATAATCAAGTTTAAGTATTGTTTGTTGTTATTAACATTAGATATAAAACTTGACTGAGCTTTGTGTTTCAAAGTTAATACGAGAGACCAGTGTTACACAGGGATGATGGTCATTGTGACATACAATCAATATCTTAATGCTAGGTTTTTATAACATATTTGTTTGGGCAACATAAACCCCCCGTATTTGCTGATTATATTGTAAATATATATGACTCTGTGGTGAGACTCAAAGATCAAGTTGAAGCCGAGGGAAAACATTATGGCATGAAGGTTCAATTTCCAAATCTAAGTTGTTTCAGCCTACAGAATTGATGTGATCAAGCAAGCTGAAAAACTGGTGGTTTTCTGGTAACAGTTTGGAAACAGTAACTGCTCACAAGAACCTGGTTGTAATGTTTGCCCAAAGCTGTCAAAGAAGCATGCAAACCACGAGAAAAGACATTGAATATCTTAGTCAGATTTGGAATAACAGCTGAATTGATCTTAACCTGCTTCTGTTGTCTGTTTGATAGCATGGCTGTCCCAATATTTAGTGATGGATCCGCTGTGTGAGTGAATGAGTGAGTGAGTTGGGTTTAACGCCGCTTTTAACAGTATTCAAGTTATATCGCGGCGTGTCAGCTTAATGTGGAGTGAGTGAGTGAGTGAGTTTGGTTTTACGCCGCTTTTAGCAATATTCCAGCAATATCATGGCGGGGGACACCAGAAATGGGCTTCACACATTGTACCCATGTCGGGAATCGAACCCGGGTCTTCGGCGTGAAGAGCGAACGCTTTAACCACTAGGCTACCCGACCGCCCCCTTAATGTGGAAGGAAAGCCCGAACTGATGCAGGTCTCAGACGTTTACCTCTTCGGTGAAACCCACGAGCACGGGTATGGTGCTGACAAACCTTGAAACATAATCGGGGCGAACCTGGATTCGAACCCACAATCATAGGTTTCTGGCGTGCCCAAGGGACGCAACTCTGCACAGCGAATCGCGGCGCCTTAGACGACTGGGGCACCCGTGCCCCCCATCCGCTGTGTGACATGAGAGGAGGTCAGTGTAAATTAAAGTGTACACTTGAAGTTTTACAGAATATTTTCAGGTGTAAACAACAGCTCTACGAAGATGTCAATGGAGAACTTAGTAGTTGCCATCCTCCGCTGACCACATGTGCAATGTAGTAAAGTCCTGGTTAAAGTTGTAATATGGCCATCATCAGGTATCTGAAAGCATGTTATGAATGTTAATAATACCACCTTGATAATAATGAAAGGGAGACATGGCCGACACGTGATAAACCGTTGATGAATATTTTAGGATTTGGTGTGGCATGGATTGGACAAGGAGTCACTTTTCCTATGACAGATGTTTAAGACTATAATTGAACCTGAGAGATCTGTTTTTAAGATATAAAATGGACCCCTTCGAGTGATCCTCATTAGGTTTGGGTGTGGTAACCATACGATAGTAGCACACACGGGACGCTGAGTTGGCCCTATTAACATAATAGGCAATGTAATTGTTGTCAAAGTAAAAAAGGGGTACTACTAGTACTAATAGATGATAGGGTTAATGTTTTGGTAGTGTGTGAAGACTACGGGCGATTCCATACTTACATCTAACAATGTTTCAGAGAGATCCCTGCTTGTAGGTGATCAGCTGTATGTGTGATGTTTCTCCTCACAAGCCCAAATCACTCTCATTTTCACATTTAGAACTGCGATTTTAAATATAGTTCCTATTGGTTGTTGTTAAATTTTTAATTTTCAAGGAACGTGTGACGATCTTTCACGTTAACCCTTCAGGAGTATATATATATAACTGCAGTAATGGACAAGATCTATATCACGTCACATATATCATGTTGAGTGTAAAGAGCGAACCTGTAGGCTACTGGCTGCTGTCTACTCTACATTTAAGTAAATGGCTTAAGGTGAGGGGAGTCGAGAACAGCTTAAATAGATAACGCCAGATGTTCACACTTTACATCATCATATGTCAAACCGTTACATCAGACATTCATACTTTAATCCCATTCGTGTCAAATCAGTACACCAGTCCTTCACACATTATACAACAGTATGTTAAACCGGCAAACCTTTGTGTCAAATCAGTGTATCAAACATTTACAACTTTACACCACTTCGTGTCAAACCTTTACACCAGACAGATTCACTTTACAGCCCCTTGTTCCGAACCAGTACACCAGACAGTCATACTTTACAACCCCTTGTTTCAAACCAGTACACCAGGCAGTCACACTTTTCAGCCCCTTGTTTCAAACCAGTACACCAGACATTCACACATTACAGCCCCTTGTTTCAAACCAGTACACCAGGCAGTCACACTTTACAGCCCCTTGTTTCAAACCAGTACACCAGGCAGTCCCACTTCACAAACACTTGTTTCAAACCAGTACACCAGACAGTCACACTTTACAGCCCCATGTTTCAAACCAGTACACCAGACAGTCACACTTGACAGCCACTTGTTTCAAACCAGTACACCAGACAGTCACACGTTACAGCCCCTTGTTT